TGTAATGTGAAAGCCATATGTCAAGTTTTATAGCGCGTATAACGACGAAAGTGATCTAAATGATTCATCTTCGATTTTAGATTACTTGAAAATATTTACATTTGACTTACAAAACAAGCGAGGTAAGCTGTAATTCGTCGCACGTATATATGTTCTCTTTTGACACTTTGTCAAATTGATTTCGATATCCGCTCTAAGAAGCCCAAATAAGCGACTATATTTATAAAATATGTGTGTGCAGATTAGAAAACTGATACAAAATAATAATTTATAAACTAGAAAAAATATATACTATATTTTATAATGATATATGTCTCAAAGTATAATATTATAAATATTTAATAATATAATTTCAGATGGAATAAATAAAATTGTTACAAATCGAAATAACATGTCTGCTTGATATCTGCTTATATTTTGAATAAATAGATATAGAAGTAAAAATAAATAATTCCATTTTTCGTGAATCTGGCGTATCATTTAAATAATATTTTATATATATATATATTTTTTCAAATATTTTACAAAATAATTTAATAAAATTATTTCTAACCGGGTAAATGAAACCGTTACCTACAAACGAGTAACGGGACCTTTGTGGAAACTCGCGCGTCACCCAGATATGAGTATCGCGCGGTTAAAGTGTTAATAAATGCAAGTTTCCGAAAATCGCGTTAAACTGAATTTAACGATATCCACAGAACGACGCACTGTATCTCGGTCGAGCGTGTTATTAGATCGTATAGAGTAATAACGCCTCTTCTAACGCCGCGGGAATCTCGATTTGCCGCCGTTGTTAACATCGTGGACGTGTATAAGACGTCGCAAACGTACTTTACGACTTCGACTCGGAGAAATTGAGCGAATTACGATTCGATCGGTTGGAATCCCCAACTCGTGATTCCGAATCACACGAGCTCTAAAAACGTCGCGGCTCGACATCGATCCTTCGGCTTTACGGCGCGCGCGTCGTGTCGTACTCACTGGTGTCTTGGCAGCCCGCGAGGTCGAGGACCTCGATGATGTGGTCCACGCACTGCATCTTCTGGGAGTGCGAGAGTGTGTCCGGAAGCCTCAGCCTCGCCTGGTACTGCAAAATTACGATGCGATTACAAACTGTTACAAAGGCGGTGGTGACGTGGTCGCGCGAGCGCGTGTAAGCGGCGATCGGTTTACGCGCTCTGACGAGCCGCGTAAACGCGCGCGCGTTAAAACAGCAACGTAAACAAAACCATGCCGCGACTCTGGTGGATGCATTTCCGTTTCGTAATATATCCAGGCCACTTTGTACTATTATTACTCCGGTCGGCTCTAACGCGCCGGGGGCGCGCCCGTCATAAGCCGATCGTTAAGTCAATTACGATGACGCGCCGATTGCGAAATCACGGGCTGTTTTTACCTCGGAAGGATGTCTGAGAATTAGTTGATTCAAGAGTATTTGCACGAGCGTCTCGTAAATAGTTAGCTGTTGCCTTACGATTTGAACATCTTTAAACGTTCGACAGGTGCCAAAGAATGAACATACGAATAAAAAAATTGACATTACGAACAATATTAAATTAATCTACAATCTCTAATTCAACATATATATATATATTTTTTTTTAAATTGAGACATAATGCATTTAGATTCGATTTTAAAATATTTAATCCGAAAAAAGGGTTAATGACGCCTGCTGACGACAAATTCGAATTTTTTTTTCGTCAATTGGAATAATAATCTCACAATAAATAATCTCGGAATAAATCAATAATTCATCTTCAAAGTCTTAACCTTTTTGAAATTAGATCGATTCAAGTCTGTTCACGATTAATTATTTTAAACCGAACTCTGCATCATTTCCTCATCGATGGAAAAAATTGGCACAATCCACTATGATTAAACGATGACTACATTATACCGTTATACACGAAAACAGATATATATTCAATTTATGTTCCGTTGTATATTGCTTTTACAATTTATTATTGTATAATTGTTCGAAAATCTAACAAACTTACCACTGATTATATTTTGACAACGGAATAAAACGGATAAAAGCCTCATGTGTTTTATTTACCTTCACAAGGTACTCCTCCGATAAAATATTCATTTATAAATCAACATGTTATATAGTTATATTGGAATATAATTAAAGCTCATTGGGAGGTGCTAAAACATTTGGGGTAGAGAGCTGTCCGGTGAAATTTTCCGTGATGCAAACACGTCAATTTCGTACGCGTCCAAGAATGTGTCGTCGCGCGGCTTGATGTGCGATGATGTTATGGATCGCCCTTTATATCACAATCAACAGCGGCTACGCGTACGGATATAGAGACCGGCCGAGACGACGACGTGCCGTTTCTCAACGTTCATTCTCCTCGTGCCGTTACACAAGAGGGGGCCCGTTATGCGGAGAGAGAAAGTGCGGCCGATGATATTGTACTCGCCGGGAATACAGTTATGTCTAAATAAAGATAACGACGATACCCGGCTGTGGAACCGGACCGCGGAAAAGTGAACCTCTTCTTCTGTTCTCCGACAGTTTACATTCCTGCCTTTGAAACGAAAGGGCCTTTTGACGAGGCCGAGTTTTAAGAATGCGGACAAACAGCACGTATATCTTCTTATTTCTTACCTCGGAACTCCAACCTTCGGACAATCTTCTTTTTTTTTCTTTTCCTTTTTGTTTTATTAATATTAAAGTTACACCGTGCGTCGTTAACTATGATTAGATAATAAAGTCATTTTGCAATTTTGTCATAAGAATCAAGAATTGTGAAAAAAATATGCGGATAGGATAAAGCGAGGGAAAAATCTCGTCGTATCAATAGCAACAATTGTTTCCTAATGAAAAATTTCGAAAGTTTACGAAAAAGCTAAATATCCACGAAAACACATCTTTATATGTCTGAGAACATTTATAATTTTATGATACTAATTACAAGCATGATTTAAAAACAAAAAAACGTGCGAACAATGATATTACTTCACAAATCTTCTAAGTACATTTACACACACAATACTGATAGTAAGATGATTTTCGCGCAATATATTTCATTTATGTGTATCAAACAGAACTAACTCGCTTGAGACAGAAGGTCATAAATAAAGACATTAAAAGATTCATTATCTTGCAAAATCACGCAATGCTCCCCAAAGAGAAACCAGCCTGAAACTTTCGGTTTGTTCGCCGTTAGATGGATGTAAAGCACAGCTCTTTGATAAAGACAACAGTAGCGAAAGACCGTCGCACGGAAAGGGAGAGGAAGCGGCTAGAAAAGAAGGCAGAAGAAGAGGCCTCCAGGAGAGAGAAAGTGTCATCCCGCTGAAAGGAACTACACTGCGGTTTTACCTCTCTCTAAACAGCGCGCCGTGTGCACGCGCGGTATGCGCGCGTGTAGAGGCGGCGCCAAATGTTTTCGAAACCGTAAGACGCGCGCCGCGGAGCTCTCGGCGGTTCACTGACCGAGTTATGACGTCACCGCGAGAGATACGACTCCCCTCCCCTCCCCACCCCTCCCCTCCGCCTCTCCACGACTCCGCGAACTGCTGTTCCACGCTAACGGTCGCGGCTAGACGAACGACGGTTCGTTGCGAGAGCGCGTGTATCGCTATGCGTGTGACACGCGCGTGCCACGTAGGTACGCGCGCGCGAGTGGGCGTCCATGCACGTGATACTCCTATTTCTTTCTCTATTCTATTTTATTTTTATTTTATTTTCATTTTATGTTTTTCATTTGTACTGCATTGTATATTTTTTATTAACAATATTTATACTTTGTAGGAAGAGAGAGAAAGAGAGAGAGAGAGAGAGAGAGAGAGAGAGAGAGAGAAAGCATCATTTATTAGCGGAACAAGATTTAACTCTGATTCTAATTCTGATTTCGATTTGCTTCCCCCCCCCCCTCCCCTCTCTCTCGCTCACTGTTTTTTTCATTATTCAATCACGTATTTTGCTTGGTTTCTAATAAAATCATGTCGTAAACAATTTTACAATTTTTGCAGTTTTTTAATGTTCGAAGGAATCTCACTAAATTATTCTCATTAAATATAGAGACCTCTCAATAAATATAGATCCTCTCGATAAATATAGCGACATCTGGATCTATCTCTATTCAGATGTTTTATTGAAAGTTTTGCCTCGACAAGACGTAGAGTAGGATTGTTTTGAATTCGACCATTGATCGAATTTAAATTATTTACACTCGGTCTCAATGCGCGGCTGCGCGATGACGACAGACAAACAAAACTCGGGTATTTGAATTTAAACCCGTATGCAATCTCTCATTGTTAAACGTTCTACAATATATAATATATTCATTCGTTATACCATTACATTTTGAAACAATCTATTCTTAGACTTTATCCGGAAATATGGAATCAATACGTATCTCTTTTTCTCTCCACACTTTATTTTAAGACGTTAATTATTTTTATAACATTTAGTTAACATTTTATAATCATAACTGTCTCAAAAGACGAGATTCTTCCTTGCATATTATTTTACCACAACTTTCGCCGATTATCTCGAAGAAAATTATTAAAAAATTATTTAATGACAATTATTTAATTATCGTGATTTTTCACAATCCTCATTGTTGTTGAAGAAATTTTCTTCCAATCGGTATACATGTGCACGGAAAATTAGAACACTCTTAATGTCGCGCAAGATATAAAACGAAGGGAAATATTTAACGTAGAAAAGAAAGTGAATATTACATGTTTCGGAGATTAAATATGGGGTGCGGTCGAAGTAATACGTACTACGAACGCTTCGAAGCATTGGCCAATCAGAAGGAAGAATTTTATTTT